TCTTTCCTTCGTCGCAATTTTGACGTCAATCAATCGCGGTGCGGCAATCCGCTAATTCGACGCACAAATAGAATCGCGCGCTTACATAACCAGAATCAGAACGCACGACGCATTTCCAATACATTATTTTCATACATTTATCGCGCGTCCAGTTTCTATCGTTTCTACCATCAACATCTCCTCGCATTATGACAGTGACGTCCATGTTGCATCATCGTCGCCTTGGAAACGGTTCCAAGTGTCAAATGTCATTTTTCGAGGAGTCGCGGAAATCAGCGATTATGTCATCTCTTCAAAACAAAAACAACAAAAAATAAAAGAATGCTACATTTTCGGCGAATAGAAAACACTTAGTAGAGTTCATTCACGCTCATTTCGCTGAATGAAACGATTTATTCTTTTAAAATTAATCTCGATTCTGTTTTGTTCTCGTTCAATTTTTTTTTTGTTTGTTTACTAGCATTTCGGCCAATGACGCACGCGCCTCTATGATAGTTATTCAATGGAAGAAGAAGAGGAAAAAACAAAAAAAACAAAATAAATGGTATGCCGGAAGCGTTTTGTTTAATTGGAATTTACGAGAGACAGATGTAGTAATAGTAATAGTAGTAGTAGTGGCGTAGTAAATAGTGAATAAATATTGGAAGAGAGCGAATTTGCGTTCTTCATCTTCTGCACTCGCTATAATACAACTACGCAATTTTATGCCAAGGTCTCGAAACGAACACACACTTAGTATCGCCTTAGTGACATGTGTCAGATACGCGCACTTCTAGGATCGTTCGAACGGGCCTTGGAAAAGCCTTTTCTACCGTCCGTTTCCATTTGCTCCAACGATTTTCTCGATAACAACAAACAAACAAAAATAACAAATTTAACCGCTCGTTAATAGATTTAACGAAACGAACAACGTTGTAAATCGCGTATTATTTGCAGGATACGAAAATAGCGACGATTCCTATATTATGAGTGTTTCCATGGAGATAAGATAACGTACGCAGTTCCTAACCACTCGAAATGCGTTTTTATTTTAAACTTTCGTTTGTGTTTGTTTCTTTGTACGAACGCCCGTTCGCTCGCAAACAAAATCATTCAGATTTTCTTGCAGGGGATTTAAACTCTTTGGGGCAGATTCGAAAACACGCGATCGCGGTGAACGCAACGCAACCGTATCCGTTTACGTAAAAGAGCGTAATAGCAAACAAAGAAAATCAATCGTTCGTACACAAGTTTACATGCAAGAATAAAGAAAAAAAACAAGGCAAACACTATTTTGTTGTTTGCATTTATTCATTTCGAATTGATTAATCAAGTAATCGTCGGAATGCTTTTGTTCTGCAACTTCCTTCAATTGAAACGTCAAATTTATGTCATTTCAACATGAAACGTCAAATATTGACATATTGTTGTTGTTGTTATGAACGTGAGAGGTCCTTGACCTTCGTTTGCTGCAACCCCATCTTCTTTATTAAGGGTGCGATGTTCGTCATCGCGAGGGGTGGGTGGAGGGGTGTAGAGGAACGCATCGACCACACCCCTGCAAACTGCATAGACCTGCACGGGTCAAAGCACTCAATACCCACCCGACCGATTCCAGATTAATTTAATCGTTATGTTCGATCGACGGTATGCAAATAATTATGAAATGTCTTCGATTATGTCAATTTATGTTTGTTTTGCTTTAGTTGTATTTTCTGATTATAATTTTCAACAGCTATTTCAAACGAGTCGATATATAGTTTGCGCCTACTTGGATCAAGCAATATTTCGAACATTAATTTTAATTTAATGTTTCTGTTCAATTTTCTTCGTTTCGTTTCAAATAAATTGACACGTCAGTTTGTTTTCAATTGTTTATCGCTTGCGGTTACTTTCTTGCCACGTTGTTGTTGTGTATTACTAGTAGCGTATTGTTACTTAGTAACATTGAAACATGTGCATAGGGTGCTGCTGTCAATTTGACAGTTTCAATGTCAGTTGTGTTTTTGTTGTTTTCGTGCGGATGCGCGCGCGTTGTAATCGTACTCGCAAGGGCTGTCGGCCCTTGTTTTGCGCGGTGGAAGGGTGCTGTTTGCGTAGTACGTAGTAGAAGTAGTGTGTGTGTGTAGTAAAGGTAAAAGAAGAAGAAAGCGGCGCAGATTGTGTTGATGATGATGGTGATGGTGATGCTGCACGCTACCGCGGGGCCGTTAGTATTGATCAGACATGGTTCTGGCCGACCGGCAGTGACATCATCGGGGGGTGGTTGCTAGGTGACTTTGGCGCCGGCGCTCCGACTAGGCGCGATCGACCCCCGGCGCTTCCACCCTCGCAGTCCGGGCCCTAAGACCGAGCCGTTAACATGATCTAAAACTCCAGCAAAAGGGAAAAGCCCTGCTGCAAGCAACACACGAACACACACATACACGTACATATAAACATACACAAACACACACACGAATAGATAGAAAGAGAGAGACAGTCACGCACGCACTCGCATGCAATATAATTGATATATCGTAATCGTCAGTGGGCATTGGATTGTGTGTGTGTGTGTGTGTTAGTTCGTTTGTTTAGTTTTTGTTTTTTGCCGTGGGCGTGCGGTGGTGCAGACCGAGGAGGCGGCGGCGGCGAAGAAAGAAGCAGGAGAGTGAAGAAGTAGGAGGAGGAGGAAGAGAAGGAGGAGGGAGAGAAGAAGCAGAAAGACTACGAAGAAGACGGAGAAGAAGAGGAGGAGGAGGAAGAAGAAGAGGTGGGTGCCATGGGAACGGTGCTGAGTTTTTCGCCGCGGGAGCGGCGACCCGTCTACACGACGACGGGGTCGAACGCGGGCAGCGCCGACTTCACGTTGAACAACTTCTCCTACGAGCAGCTGAACAACGTGAAGAATCGCGAGAACAAACCATCGCTGAATGTCGCTAACGCGAACATGAACAACTCCAGCAGTAATCAGAACCTGCAGAACAACATCAACAACGACAACGCGCGTATCATCAGCGAGAAGAACGCCCTCGAGAAGAACCTGAAGAAGCACTCGCTGTTCATTAACGCCCTCTCGTGGAAACGGTTCTCCACTACGAACAACAACAAGAAGAAACTGGACAACAAGAACAAGAATGTGACGGTGTACAGACAGCCGCTGGTGGACAACGTGAATCCGGTGGTGGTCGTCGACAAGAACAAGAACATCTCGGCGAAGGGCTCGTCTCTGTACTACTCTTCGAATTCGAAGAGCGCCTCCGGGACCGTCGTCGGTCTCGACATCGTTCGTGTCAACAATGCCAACAACAATGCGGCCAACCATCAGACCCTGGACAAGTTGAGCAACAAGCAGCCGTTGCTCGCGTCGTCCGCCGCCACCACCAACAACAACATCACCACCAGCAGCAGCAACAACAACACGGCCAACTGTCAGTCCCTGCATCAGCATCATCACCACCACCATCATCATCATCATCATTCTCAGCAGCAGCAGCAACAGCAGCAACAACATCATCATCATCACCATCAGAACCAGAACCAGCAGCAGCCAGGTGCCACGAAGAAGACCGTCATCCAGGCTTCGACCTCTGAGCTGCTCAAATGTCTGGGCATGTATCTGCACGCTCGCTGCTACAAGCTGCGCGACTTCCAGGCAGGGGACGCCGTCATGTGGTTACGCACCGTCGACCGCAGTCTCCTCATCCAAGGATGGCAGGTAAACAACCAACCCCTGCGCGCCATTACGATCGATACAGTCCAGGTGGCGCCACCGACATCTTCATCCCCCCGCACTCCGTCAATCCAATTTACTCGTACATCTCCACGGTTACATAATAACAAAAGAAAAGAAAAAAGAATGAGAGAGAACAAACAAAAACGAATTACGATTTCATCTGCTAAATTGCTAAACTCCCCGCAAACACGGCAAAAACGTATTGAATGACATGTGTCAAAAGAAAACAATTGACCTTTGACATTATAAATCTATTCTAAAAATAAACCGTGTGTTCCGGGACAAATTGATTTTGTCGTCCTTGCCGCCTCCGTGGCAAATCTCCACGCCGTTCGAGATATTTTGATCCCAACAAAAAAAAAAAACAAAAAACCACCGTTTCTACTTTCGCCTTTACGTATTTCTCTATTTAGAGAAATAGAATGTCCTCTTGTTGTTTTGTTGTGATTTTTCTCATATTTGTTTCGCTTCCATCGATCCTTATTTATAGAAACAAGTCGCAACACTCGTAACACCGATCCATCTATTCTATCCACTACAGAAAACAAACGTTATTTTTTCTCTTGTTTTGCTCGTATTATAATAATAGCGCTTGATTTATATTTTACATTTTATTTTTTTTTATTTTTTTTCGACAATACCCACGCAATGTTTTGCTGAAACCGATTCGTTTGTTTTCTTGCAATTTCACAATATTTTGATTACGTCAGCTGTCAGATAAAAGTGTTTGTTTGTCCCTTCTTCTTCGATAAGATAATCGCAACAATTATGACGACATTTTCTTTTCGGATAAAATTATTTTGCATTTGCATTACTCATGCTCATTGTTCAAACTAGTCTAAATATTTGAATCATTTCATGTGCACTGAATACACTTTTCGCTGTCCCCCACACTAACGTATTCCGTTTGATATTTTCAATTTGACATTTCACCTCGACATTTCACTGAAATGTCAACGATTTTCAATTGTTTATAATGAAAAACGTCAATTGGTTGACATATTGAGAAATTAGTGTTGCATATGCTGAATTGTACAGAGAGAAACGAAAATAAACAAAAGAGAAGTGACCAGGAGTGGGTTCGGGTGGATGCGCCGGGTTCGCACGTTACTATCGATTCGAGTTCTTGGCTCGCGCGAGGACAGTGTGTGTGTGTGAGAGGGGGGAGAGGGAACGTGTTTTTGCTGATGCAGGAGAGAGAAAAAGTTAATAATGGAATTTTTTATCCTCTCCCCTGGACTTGAAAAAAAAAATAAAATAAAAGCAAAAATCGAGCGCACCGGGGAATTACGCTTTACATTTTTCACCCTCCGCCCATCGTAGTTATTTAAACAACGTCTGGCATTTAATGACGCATTCACGTGGGAGGGTTGCTGCTGCTGCTGCTGCTGCGGCAGATGACGTTCGATGGGGTGGGAGACGGCGTTCGAATGTCTCCCGCGAGATGCGGCGGCGGCGGCAGTGGCTTTCGACCCTTCGCTCTTTTATTTATCTCTCGATTGCTGCTTGCGCTCTTCGGATTAATTATAGAAAAGCAGTGTTGCTACCGTTCTTCAACCGCCCCTCTCCACCCTTTGACACTCGCGTCCGCCGACCCCTACCTCTTCCACACACCACCACCCCTCTCCCTCTGCGTTCACCCTCTCTCAGACTGTAATTGCATTTTTATCAGATCCCCTTCGAACGCATAGAGCTAAAACAAAACAAAAAATAGCTGAAGAGAAAGGTAGGGTGGGTGGTAGTATGTGTGCGTGTGCGCGATAGGGAGAGAAATCGATGCGAACGCGGGCATACGAATTAGTACGCTTCTGTCGGAATGACATGCATGCACCCCTTCAAATTAGAAGTCAGTTTTGATGGGACGACGATGAATTAAAGGAAAAGCAACCACTCGTAGTACTCAGGTGTATTGCTGCACGAAAGTCGATTTCATACACTTTGTGTGGATATGCACGAAACGCAAATTAAAATTGATTCAATCTATCTTACGTTTTGATAATCTAATAATTATATTGTTATGGAAATGTCAAATTTGACATTTTGACTCTAAATGTCAAATTTGACATTTTAACTCTAAATGTCAAATTTGACATGAATTGAACTATGCGTTGCATTTTGTTTGTTTTCTCTATAAAGCAATTCTCTCTCTCTCTCTGTTTATAATCGAGCGGCGTTGCGTGAGCCCTAAAATTTAGGTCGAGTTTCGTATCGCAAACGGCGGCGGAGGCGGCGGCGCCATTCCACACAGCGGGGGGGTGGTGTTGGCGGAAAACGAGCCTTGAACTTTGCGATCGTCCCTCGCCAGAGCGGTACACTTCAAACGAAAACCACGGCTTCCGAAAACAAACAACAGAAGCGTTTCAGAAGACACGACACGATGTAAATGGAATGAGTTATTGCGACTGAATAGTTTATGAGAGAGAGAGAGTAAATTTAGAAAATATAATAACCCAGCGCATCCACCGTGTTTCTATTTCCGTCGAAGAGAAATAATCTAATTTGTTACGTATATTATCTTATTGAATAAGAAGAAACGCGTGGCGCGGTTATGTAAAAGCTGCAAACAATGTTAAACGGTTTATTACAAGTTCAATACTTACTAATTTGTATTGGTTCGATGTTTCAGGATGTGGCGTTTATCAATCCGGCGAACGTCGTCTTCGTGTACATGCTGGTGCGAGAGCTCGTCGACGAGGACATCCGCAGCGAGCAGGAGCTGCAAGCGATCGTCCTCACCTGCCTCTACCTCTCCTACTCTTACATGGGCAACGAGATCTCCTATCCGCTGAAGCCGTTCCTGGTTGAGGACTCCAAGGATCGGTTCTGGGACCGATGCCTGGACATCGTGAACAGACTGAGCTCGAACATGCTGCGCATCAACGCCGAACCCGGCTACTTCACCGAGATCTTCACCGAGCTCAAGGGTTGCGGCGTCGCCAGCATCCTCGCCTCCTGCAGCATGCCGTCACCGGCGCCGGCGCCTCCGCCGCCGCCATCGTTCGTCGCGAC